TAGCTTATGCGTCTAGAACATTAAATGATTCTGAACAAAATTACAGTGCGACAGAAAAAGAATGTTTAGCAATAGTTAATGGAACTAAGTATTTTAGACATTATCTTTTTGGACGAAAATTTAAAATTGTAACAGATTGCAAACCGCTTCAGTGGTTAATGACTTTAAGAGAACCAAATTCTAGATTACAAAGATGGCGCTTAAAATTATCCGAATTTGAGTATGAAGTTATATACAAAAAAGGTAAAGAAAATAAAAATGCTGATGCACTTTCTCGTATTCAAATTCACGCTACCGAAACTGACCCACAACCTTCTACATCACAAATCCAAGATGAAGAAGAGTCCCCATTTATCCGATACATGAAAACCTTCAATAAAGACTTTTCCGAAAAACCTGCAGATGACCAAACGTCTATAGAAAATAATGTAGGTGATGAACAAACAGTACGCAATTTGCTAGACTTGAGTGAACGAGTTGAAAACGTAACTATTCACTCAGACGATGAAAACCCCATTCAAGAAATTAACCCTATAGAAAAACCTATCAATGTTTTCAAGTACCAAATTTTTGTTAGAAAAGCCATTATGCCCAGAAAACTCACACTTCAAACCTTATGGGATCCGAAGAAATTCTTATACACATTGTATATTGTTAATGATGATTTAACTCCTATTATACACTTTCTGAAAGACTACGGTGTACCAAAAAGTACTTATGCATTTTATTTTGAAGATAATCATAACGACGAAATGTATAAAAATCTCGCGAACCTTGTATCTAATACATTCAAAAATTCTGCGTTCAAATTAGTCAAGTGCAGTAAAAAGCTTGAAAATATTACTGACGTTTTGAGACAAGAGGAAATCATGAGGTATAATCACGAAACCAAAACTAATCACCGAGGAATCATTGAGACAGTTAACCAAATTAAAAGAAAGTATTATTGGCCCCACATTGATGATGACGTGAAGTTATACGTCAATACTTGCGATATTTGCCAGCGAGGTAAATATGAAAGACATCCACCTAGAATTGAATTTGAGATTACCCCGACAGCTAAAATGCCATTCCAAATTGTTCACTTAGATGTATATCAAGCTAACAATAAGAAATTTTTAACAATAATTGACAACTTTTCAAAATATGCGCAAGCCTTCCCAATCGAAGCAGCTGACGCTATCTCTGTCTGACAATTTGATCAAATTCATGTCATTTCATGGTTTACCCATCCAAATTGTTGCAGATTCTGGTACTGAGTTCAACAACTCCTTAATAAAAGAGTTTGCAAAACTCCATAAGATAAAGCTACATTTTACAACTTCAAAAAATTCAAATAGTAATTCACCTATTGAACGATTCCACTCCACTATAACAGAACATTTAAGAGCTCTTGCATTGCAATTTCCAAAAAAGGATGTTAATTCTTTGATGCCTTATGCAATCCTTGGCTACAATCAGTCTATACATTCAGTGACGAAACGAAAACCAATTGAAATTATTAACGGACATTTAGACGTTAGAGATCCTTTTGATCTAGACGTTGATCGAGAATTAATGAACAATTACCTTCAAGAACACAAGAATAGGACAAAATTAATTTATAGCCTTATCTATGACATGTCGAAAACCCAAAAGGAAAAGGTTATTCGAAAAGCTAATAAAGATCGCGAAAAACCGACCGACTATTCTAGAGAAAAAGTAGCGTACCGACGTGACGCGAAGTCCCGAGGTAAAAAGCTGAAACCACCCTATATAAAAGAACAGATTATGACTGACAAAGCTTTAAAACTAAAAACTAATAGAAATATTTATCATAAAAGTATTTTCAAAAAGCCCAGAAAGAAAGTAACTCAAAATTTGTTACAGGATGATACTTCTTCTGATAGTGCATCTGACACATCAGTCCACGGTGAAGGTCACCAACCTTAAAACAAATCCTGGTATACTACCCTTCAGATTAGGTGATGCTAAAGTAAAGATAGGAACACATACATTTTTACACTATGTAGATTTTGAGCCGATAATTAAGGAAGTAAATTCGCTAAGTACAGTATTTCAAGAAATCAAGGACCAAACAGAAAAGAATAAATATAATTTAGGATTCATTCCAGATACACATTTGGCAGATATAGAACAACATATAGTTTACTCGATGTCAAATTTGAAAAACAAAATAATGTCCATATATCCATTCTGGAAAAAGCAATATCGCCCAAAACGAGGATTGATAAATGGTTTAGGATCAATTGTCAAAATGATTTCAGGGAACTTAGATGATGACGATGCTAAAAAATATGACCAGGCTATTGAACAATTACAGAAAAATCAGAATCAAGTAATTAAGACAGTTAATCAGCAAATTTCCTTGACCCACGAAGTTCTCAAAAATAACAATAAGACATTTAGCCTTATGGTTCACAATCAAGCTGTAATCGAACAAACTTTGGTAGAGATGCAAAGGAACAATACATACTATTTTACTATTTTGGATACACTATTACAAATATAGTTCAATTTAGATACACTGCTCTCTATAACTAGTAATTTGGAAAATGCCATCGCATTTGCCAAAATTGGGTCATTGCACCACAGTATTATTTCAATAGATGAATTAAAGTCAATATTCCAAATATTAGTCAAAAATCATAATAAAGCTCAGTTGGTGTATTCAGACATCAAAGATATTTATAAGCTTTACGACATAATTTCAGTAGAAGCATATTTTTCCCAAAATCGATTAGTTTTTGCCTTACATGTTCCGCTTATGCACGTAGACAAATTTAAGCATTATCATCTTTATTCCATTCCTACTGTTAACCTAACTACCATTATTCCCAAAAATTCCTATTTCACAATGAGTACCAAAATGTACCAATATGATGCTGAACCATGTCAAATGATAGAAGATATTTTTATTTGCCACGAAAACAAATTGGTCCATGTTGCAGAAGAAGAAGACGATTGTCTATTTGCTATTTTACAAGTAAACAAAAAGCAGCCAAATTGTAACAAAATTCCCGTAACTCTTAAAATGGCCTTAATTGAAGAAGTTTCAGAGTCCAAATACATTGCTATTTTTCCGAAACCTGAAAAGCTGATAATCAAGTGTGAACAAGATGACGTCATAGAGTTAAAAGGTATTTACCTACTTGAAGTGCCTTACCAATGCAGCATACAAACGAAGGACTACATTTACAAAAATCAAAAAGGAACAACCATGGAAAAGCCGCTGCTGCTTCCAGAGGTCCACATTTCATCAAAAACAGAAAATCCAAAGGAAATCAAGTTAGTACACATTTCCTTAGATAAACTTCATCACTTGCAAGAACGAGCCGACCAAATCCAGGTAGTTCTTCCCGAAACAGTGAAGCACCCCTACAAATGGAGTCTACCCCTGTATGCAATTATGTTAATTGGAATTGCATGCATCTTCGTGAAAAAGTATTACCAGAAAAGAAAAGGATCAAGAAGAAGCCAGCAGTTAGAAGAAATCGAAATGCAACCCCAGAGGCACGAAGTTTTGTTTGTGCCCTCCAAAACTTCATCTTAAGGGTGGAGGAGTTATGATGCCGACATTTAGCACTTTATTAATTAATATAATAATTGCATTGTACTCCTTTTTACTAGCTCATCACTTTTGGTTTATATTAACGATTGTATCTTAATTATGAGTCAGTCATTCAATCTCAGTCACAGCGAACACACACACTGTAATTCCGGTTCGGTCCATGTAAACTATTGTTGGAATCAAATAAAGTTTTTTAAAAACGAAGTTTGAAGTTCCGACAACATAATTCACGGGTTGATGACGTCAGTTACACGAATCGCTTGAACGCGTTGGTTTTAACCGCGGTTTTGTTGCACGTTGTTTATTTTAGAAAAGCGCGTATATAATCTCTGATTATTTTTATTATCACTTAATAATCGGTGCTTTTTCGTCTACAACTGTATATGGAAAGTTTAAATAAGAAACCTTTCATAATATTCATGGGAGAAATGTTTTTTCAGATTTTTTTTTAATGATGGAGCCATGGCTTTATAGCTATGATAACTTTCAATTCTCTAAATTTTTCCGCATGTCAAAGAAAACATTTATTGATTCAGCAGAAATGATATCATCTAGTGAGTTTATATGGCCATATTTTAATATTCTTGTGGTATATGGCTACACAGGATACTTTGTTAAGCATAGGAAATACATTTAAAGTGTCCCCAACAACCGTAATGAGTATAACTAATAAGGTGCTCCACTTTATGGTAAAACTGAAGTCAGCCTGTATCAATTTTCTCAAAAATGAAGCTGAAGTACAATAACAATATCCAATACCCGGCAAAATTCTAACTTGTCACATTTCAAATAATAACCAGAAATATAAAACTACTCTTGAGTTGGGTAAATACCACACTTTTGCGGTGATAACTATGACATATAACAGCTGATTCGTGACGTCACGGATCTTATAACCAAACTGATAACTACACTCGCTTGAACGGATCGGTAAATACCAACCCAAAATGGTAAATACCATTTCCATTTGGTTATCCGCTTGAATTTGATTATAGTAGGAGAGAATATTAATTTAAGCCCTGCATTAAAGTTGGCTATGACTTTGAAGTTTCTGGCTCATGAAGGATCATTTCAAAGTTTGTCATGGGAATTCCGCGTTGGACATTCAACTGTTTCAAAAGTGATCTTTGAAACATGCACCGCAATTTGGGATACAATGCAACCTATTTACTTGAAATCCCCTACTGAACAAGAGTGGATTAATATCAGCCACCAGTTTTCAAATAGATGGAATTTTCCACATACACTTGGGGCCATTGATGGAAAACGTTCACATTCAATGCCCATTGAATAGTGGGTCATTGTATTATAATTATAAAAACCACTTTAGCGTTATCTTACTAGCATGCTGTGATGCTGATTATAAATTTATTTGGGCAGATATTGGTGCGTATGGCTCTGAACATGATGCTAGTGTATTTCGAAGAGATCTCAGATGGGAAAACAGTTAGATGAAGGATCAGTTCAGTTGCCAAAGGTAGATCAATTGCCAAGTACCAATGTTGAAATGCCCTATTTTTTTGTTGGCGACGAAGCTTTCCCTTTGAAACCATATCTAATGAGGCCATATCCAGGGAGGCAACTAACCGAACAGAAATCAGTTTTCAACTACAGGTAGGTATGTGGAAACAGCACAAAATGAATATTTCTGACAAATTTTGTTGCAGATTATCACGAGCAAGACGTGTCATAGAAAATAGTTTTGGAATACTTGCAAGTAGGTGGAGAGTTTATCGCTCTCCTCTGCTATGCTCCATAAAAACAACAGAGGCTGTGGTAAAAGCTACAATATGCCTACATAATTATTTGAAAACTGAGGCACCAACGACATATGTACCACCTACATTAATAGACTCCTTGAAGGATGATGGTGGAACAAATACGGATGGTGAATGGAGAGAAATCATCCAAAATGACACCAACTTGACACCAATTGGCAGAGTGGGAGCAAATATATCAACCAGTGCAACTATGGCTTTGAGAGACAAGCTAGCAGAATATTTGATATCAGATGCTGGAGCAGTGTCATGGCAAATGGCATATGTTAACAGAGGAAGATTTTGAAATATGCTAGCATACTGTCTATTGTATGGAAATTAAAAACATAGTAGTATTTTTTAGTATCAATTTTTATAAATAAAAGTAGCAAGTATACATTTTTGTATATTTTATTCCTACACATTAAAAGCATGACAATATATTTCAGATATCTTCATTCTCAATATATTTAACTAGTAACTCCATGACTTCTTTTTTAAATTTAATTTTTTTCTTCAGTGGCAGATGTTGCATGTCATCGAGAATGGACTTCATAAAATGTGTGTCACTGTTTTCAGTATTTTCACCAAATCTTTTCTCACATATTTTTGAAAAATTTTGTAAAGCTGTGGCCATTGACTCCTGGATGCTCTTTTTGTGTCCACATGCACTACCAGGTCTGGATGAATGTGAGCTGGTAGGTCTAGACTGGGTAGGCTCCGGTGACAATACACCATCTGATCCCACAACATAATCATCTAGTAATGGTTCAGACTCAACCTCCTCAATGTCACTTTTGAAGCACTTTCTGGGGCAGTCGAGGATATCAGCCTGAAATATAATAGAGTTGTCTTAACATACAAAGAGGACTGGTATATTCATAAAAATCAAAAACAAATAGTTCATTCCACCTGACCACTATTAACTTCAGGTGTAATTTTTATTGAAGTACATACTTATAAATGAAGGTTTAATAATTGGGTGACAAAAAGTACACACTGAACTCTCAGCACCAGCCTACAATGGGTGGCACTATGTAGACCTCAAAATGATTCAATTACACTGTATGACTTACTTTCTCTTCCTGGTGAATGGTATTAACCACATCATTATTTCAAAGTATGGGAAGTCCGGTTGTTTTTGTGTTCCTCCACCTGAACGTGTATTGTCTATAGGCTCGAACAAACCTGTCTCTCAGGTTGTCCCACCTCTTTTTCACTATGGCTGCTGCAAAAGGGTTAAATCTGTTATGAAGTTTTATCATGTATTGTTGAATTTATAAATTCTGTGCACTAACATAAACCAGCATATAATGAGTTAATACAAAATGACTAAGAGCTTCAATTTACGCTATTTAAATGGAATCTTGTAATACCATTATGAGTCGAAAGCTAAAAGATTTTTCGCATTTGTTCACATTATAAACAAAAAATGTATAATCGTATCGCTAAGGACGCTAAGCACATGTTCATACTTACGTTCCGAATCGAGAAACTCTGCTATTGATAGCCAACTATTCTCTTTCATTTTATCATCTTTGTATTCCTTCAACGTTTTATTGTAAATGTGTGGGCACTTTTCCACTAATTGAATCAATAATTCGTCATTCATAATGAAATCGTAGCGTTAGCGTTACTACTCCAAACAAAGACCAAAATAAACAAAACTCAGTTTTTAGGTTAATACTGTAATGCGCATGTCCTGATTCTGAGCATTCTGATTGGCTCCGAGAAGGCGACGGAACGGGAAAGTTGAATCTTGGCCAACTCTTCCGTTTTCGTTCCCGTAACCGTTGCCGTTTCCGTTTGTTGTGCATGTATAATCAAATCCAAGCGAATAACCAAAATTTCTGTGTTATGTGCCGCGGTTATAATATGGTTCAAGATGACACACGGGTTGATGACGTCAGTTACACGAATCGCTTGAACGCGTTGGTTTTAACCGCGGTTTTGTTGCAAGTTGTTTATTTTAGAAAAGCGCGTATATAATCTCTGATTATTTTTATTATCACTTAATAATCGGTGCTTTTTCGTCTACAACTGTATATGGAAAGTTTAAATAAGAAACCTTTCATAATATTTATGGGAGAAATGTTTTTTTCAGATTTTTTTTTTAATGATGGAACCATGGCTTTGTAGCTATGATAACTTTCAATTCTCTAAATTTTTCCGCATGTCAAAGAAAACATTTATTGATTCAGCAGAAATGATGAAAAAAGAAATTAGCAAAACCGTATACAGGTGGATATCATCTAGTGAGTTTATATGGCCATATTTTAATATTCCTGTGGTATATGGCTACACAGGATACCTACTTTGTTAAGCATTGGAACTACATTTAAAGTGTCCCCAACGACTGTAATGAGTATAACTAATAAGGTGCTCCACTTTATGGTAAAACTGAAGTCAGCCTGTATCATTTTTCTCAAAAATGAAGCTGAAGTACGATAACAATATCCAATACCCGGCAAAATTCTAACTTGTCACATTTCAAATAATAACCAGAAATATAAAACTACTCTTGAGTTGGGTAAATACCACAATTTTGCGGTGATAACTATGACATATAACAGCTGATTCGTGACGTCACGGATCTTATAACCAAACTGATATACCATTTCCATTTGGTTATCCGCTTGAATTTGATTTATGTATTGGATAATATGTAATTGAACTTTTCTCTCGTTTCCGTTCTCGTTCCCGTTCCCGGGCAATTGTGCAGTAGCCTTTACTATTGCTGGCTTGACATTGACTGATTTTACGAGAAAGCCTCATTCTGGTATTTGGATGTGTTCTTTCTGTGTGTATGACGATTTGGGCCATTAAACTTTTTAGAATTATTATTTTGTCGACCTAAGTTCGCCAGTCCTGTATTTTCAAGGTATACAGTCAGCAGGCTGGAGAAAAAGGCTTATCTTTCTGTTGGTAAGAGAATTTAAAAATTCAGGGGGTTATAAACTCCAGTGGTGTGGTGTTGCCGTCCGATGAGTTTACGATTTTACTCGATATGGGTATTTTAAGGTCAACTTTAGATTTAAAGCACTTCCTTTATTCTTTAGGATGCCTACTGTACCTACAAGAAGATCTATAATATCATAATGTAATGCCGTTCCAATTCCTGCCCATTCTGCCCTTCAACTCACAAAAAGCGTCAGGGCCAATAGTCATTATTGATAAAAATGGTAAACAGTGACAATAATAATTTAAGCATTCCAAAGCATGCCTGCCTAGAGTTGAGAGGTTCCCTATTTTACGAAAATCTGCTTTTCATGAATACCCAAACGATTGGAATTTCACCTTAATGATTGAAATTTCACCTTACTAATACACTAAGCTTTGAAGCACGGCGTTCTTTTTTTGTTCAATTTCTCACATGTAACCTATTAACTCTAAGCGGGTCATTTTCTACCTGATATACAGGATGAGTTCTTAGTGCGTGCTTGGTAGACAACAGTTATTACACATGGTCTAAAAAGTTGAATACAAAAATTGTAACCAACAGCATGACTTTGACTTGGAAAATATGTTTGTCCCCACAGAGTGATTCGTGACCACATGCTGGTGGAATATGTTAATTAATGTTATAACCCAAACATAGTTTTTTAAAATAGAATGCTCTACATTTTGATTTCAAACTGTTGAGATATGTATGTCAGAATCAGCTGTCATATGAGGTTCCTGTGATAAATATATATCTTCATCCAACATTATAGAATTCGTTATTTCTGTGTGGTTTGAAAAAGGTGAATCGGCTTGTGCAAAATCTTCTGATATTGTGGATCCTGCTTCAGTAGTATTCAGTGTATCTTCTTGGGAATGTGATGACATACCTTCGGGAACATTAATGTTTTTGAATAGGTCAATTAGATGCTGTAACGTAACTTTGGCCCTTTCCCAGTTTTGGGCATTTGAAGTTGTTGCTTGGTATATGCTGTCTTCAATTGTATTTTTGATGATTAGCTTATGTACGAAAGTTGGCCTGAAAAGAGATTTCGACATATGAGTTCCATGAATGATCTCTTGGATTCCCTGCATGCCGCAATGTATGTATTTTCAACCACGACTTATCCTTGTCAAAAGGATTAATAAAGAATCCACCTCTCAAATAGTGCACGAGCGATCATCAGAGTGAAGGAATATGTTTGCAAACACGGTGTTACTTAACGCATGTTCTTCATTGCACATATATGTATTGAGAGCACATAGTAAACAATACTACATTTGCTAATTGACTGGTACGTACTTATGCAATTTACTTAGCTGTTTTTTCAGTGGGAAGGCAAATCAACGCACCTAAATTTCGAAATCACCTGGTTTTGCGAAAAAATTATGTTTGCTTTTAATAATGCCGTGGGTCTCATTCCCTTATATAACCACATCAAAATTGGAAACAATTGGTCAACTAGCTATGAGAATTTGTAATTATTTATCCCAAAACACCTTTTTTCCAGCTACTAGTTTATGGAGAAACTTACAAGGAACATATATGGTATTTGGAAAACATTATACATATTTTCAAAGGAAGTGGATGAGTCTACGATTTTTGTGACATTTTTTTAATTTACCCACACCCTTGTATATCAATATTTAGAGATGAAATTTCAATACAGATGGGCCTTGAGGTTTATGAAAATGTTCATACTGAAACGCTCTGAATTTTTTAAAAAGTTACCAGGCAAACTGCTTGTGCACATGCTGCCTGACTGCCAAATAACGTATTTATAATTTAATCATCTGGACTTTTTTCTAAACATTTTAATATAGCATAAATATGTTTCCCAAATATTGTATTATAACACTATAACCACTATGGGTCCAATGTGTTGGAAAACCCCTTATTCTCTGTAATTAATGGAGATTCTTATTTTGATAACGGTGAACGAAGGATTGTCTCGCTACTGCGCAAGCCCAGAATAACAAAAATCAAAAGGAAGCAGCAAAATTAGAGCAATAAAAACTTTCTAATAATGTGTGCTCGCATTACTAATTAACCATAAACCATTTTTAGGTCCACCTATGGAAGATTGCTGGAATAGGCAGGCACATTCTTCCAATTCAATTCTTATATGTATAATATCACATAATAGTAAATGCCAAGGTGCAAACAACAAACTGCGACTGGTCAGCTAGAGTCTTAAAGAAGCAACATGGGAGAGTAAACGGGCCGCGGCCGAAGCTGAACGTGTGTAATATGACCTCACGGCCGAAACTTGACGCCCGAGATCCATCTGCTACTGAACGCAACACTGAAAATGTTATAACCTCCTTAATTTTCAAGTTATCTGAATAATTCTTTCAGATTTGTAAAATATGCTAGGTATAATATTATATGCAAGTTACTGGCAGTATTTTTGACTATAAGAAACTTTCTAATTATTTATAACTTTGATGTGCTGTCAACCTTCGTTTCAGATTTGTCAGTGTCAAGTATAATCTTTAGATCTCACAGACCAAGAGTCGTGATGTAGTGAGAAGGAGAAAGGATTGCGGGTACACAGGACGCAGCTGCTTCGAATCCTCAAAGAATTCTTGTTTCCCTATTTATTTTTCTATTATTCTATGTGCCTCATTTGTAAGTCATGTTGAGCGGAGATTACTACTTCATCAGCAACCTAGACATTTTTTGCAACATATATTTGTATTTTTGTACTATGGTAGCAAAAAGTAAAGGTTATATCCTCCTTTGGAGGTAATGAATAGTGGATGCCCGAACACAAATCAATGTTGAATGTTAAGATGAAATGAAAAATGTTTACCATAAATTTGACAAACTTAGAAAGCTATCAATTCACTAACTTGACTGTGTCCCGAAAGGAGCGTGATTTTGGAAAAACGTAAGAAAACAGAACAAATTTTATGAATACCTGCGGCTACAAAGGTGCTTTGACCGCGCATCCGAAATGTGATCATCATAAACGAATATTTTTGTTCTGTTTCGTTACTTTTCAAAGAAGGTAAATTGATACCGTCGGCTATTTCAAACTGTAAAATTTCCATATTATAATTCGTACATAGTCTATGTCATGTTGGAACGCTGTTTTTGTTAGTAAATATTCATATCCACGGAGGCCCTATGATCTCAATCAATCCAAATTACATTGGATCCACAGAAATTAAAGAAATTACTAAATATTCAAATTTACTTTGAATTCCCAATAGCATATGTGAAATCTAAAAATAAATACATAATTTGTATATATATAGATCACCTTTGGGAGATTTTAATTTACTTTATAACAATATAGGAACCATTTTAATTGATTAACCCATGAAATTCACTTGAAGAATATATTAATATCAATTATAATGACAATAATTGTGATGTCTTGGCCATTAAACAACTGCTTTCATCTTTCAACTTCAATATTCTACTTTAAGATGATACACACGTATCTCAATCTTTTTCAACTATTGTTGACCACATTTGTACAAACTATATTTCTTGTAACACCCATCGACTGTAATATCAAGAACCAAAATAGATACAAATATGCCAGACTTTTTAATGACCATAACTATGAAAAATTCTATAATAGATGTATCAGAAGAATTATTAAAAACAGCAGTTAACTAAAAAATACTATACAAAATTTTGATGATCCCTTAACAAATCTAACCATATGAATATAGATAAGAAACTTATACTTTGGCCTACTGACGTTTATGAATTGCAATTAACATCTATCAAAAATAAAATAAAATCATCAAGCATTGATGAAATTTCTTCAAATCTGACAGGGAATCCTTCACTTGGTGCTCTTGATACGCTCACAAAACATAAATATTTCTCTTAGCAGAGGTGTTTACCGACATTTGTTCATAGTCATTCATATTTATAAAGGAGCTCCACGCGATTTACCAGAAAATTATAGACCCATAAGCTTAATTACTGTTATAGCAAAAATAATAGAAAAAAAATTGTCCAAATTAGATTAATAGAGTTCCTAAAAACCAACAAAATTAAAAGTGACAACCAATTTGGATTTCAAAAAAAAAACATGAATGCTATTTTCACAACGATAAACAAAGTTCAAAAGCTCTTTTTACGACTTTTCCAAAGCTTTTGACTGTGTAAATCATGATTATTATACTATTACATTAAACGAATATCAATCAATCAAAAAATGGTGTGACCACAATTACTTGACTGTCAATGTTAGTAAGACAAAATTTATGACATTTAAAATTAAATGCTCCATTGATTTTATAAACTTAAATAATTAATTGATCCACTAATGTAATTATAATAATAGAATTAAACTATAAAGTTTAGTTCTTCAGACAATAAAGCATATTTATCTATGTATCTATTACTTGGCACTGCCAAATCTGAAGAAGAGTGAAGTAGGACATGAAATGTGTTGTAAACAATAGGAATAATATCGGAAATCCTGAAAAATACATAGCCGAAAATTCAAGTTATACATTCAGGAGTTATACTGAGCATTTTGATTAGTTTAATTTTTCAGGTGGCCGGTTCGCTACAATTGGTTGATATTTGTTTATTGTTTTTCCTTGTTTTCGAGTTTGCTTTTCAACACTTTGCAAAGAGAAAACGTAAGTACAGAAAATTATATTTCTTAAAAAAGAAAATGGATTACGTGACCTGCTTATTTAACAAAGTCATTCAGCCATCATCCTCAGCACATACCTATTGCATACTAAATGGGCTAAGATAGTTTGAAATATAATTGCGTCATAATTTTGCGTGCTAACTCTTTAAACAATTCAGTACGTTTCAATATGGAATTATTGTTTTATGAACGTTACGTCTCATCTTTGATCGGTGAAAATTTAAGCTCTAATACACAAGAGAATGAAGAAATTTTGAAAAAAAGTGTTTACAACAAAAAATCGTAGACACAACCGCTTTATTTTAAAATGTGTATAATAATTTATGTTTTTCGAATACCGTAACGCATCTGATGCCTCACATATATGAGGTGTTTGAATTTCTTAATAAGAAAAAACGTAACCTTCGGTTTTCGCTTAAAAATCACCTTTGTCTTGGAAAATGGTTTGTAATTCATATCGGCGAGGTAAATTCGTGTATTTTGCTATAAAGTGCCCTCTGAAAGAACCTTGTATGTTGCTCCATAAAATAGTGGTGCAAAACAGGTGTTTTAGAACCATTAGAAATTCTCAAAAACTACTTGACCGATCGACTCCAACTTTGTTGTGGTTATTTATAAGTATGAGGTCAACGGGTTTGAGGGATTCCAAGAATCTACATAACACTATCGTCGCGTTATCAATAAGTACCAAGACCTGCATTTTGACTAGGTTTTTGGCCATAACTATTTTGCTTTTAAAAGGACCTTTTTTGTGTGGGCCTCTTAAGTACATGATAATCTTGGTATATTTTTTCGTTCGTTCAACACTTTCGATTGAATCCAATAAAATAACGTCGAATAAAAAGTTTTCCCACAAGAATTGGTGTACCCGCGTCATGCGAACATGTTTTAAATACCTCCTGAACAACTTGCATTAATAATTATTTTGGGGAAATTTACTATGATTAGACTGCTAATGTCGTTTGCTTTTGTTGAGAACAATATAATAAGTAAAATGAGCAAAATTGTTAGGCAATTTTTATAAATGCGCAGGGATAGTCGATTAGGTATCTCGACTCTCGTGAATAATACTTACTTCGTTTGTCCTATACGGTGTACTCTGCCGATAGCTTGTAATTCGTCACTCGGATTTAAAGGAGGTTCGATAAGGACTACATGCGTCGCTTCAATTAGGTTCAGACCCTTCGATCCTGAGCTAATTGGCAACAATAACGCCATTATGTTATTTTTGGGATCCTAAAAACGAAATAATTTATTAATCGCTGGTACGCTGGTACAGCGCCACCTTCAACTAATTAGTAGTTAGTTGAAGGTGGCGCTGGCTGGTATATGGATAATAGGCTCATTGTATGAGATATACAGGATGGCACATCCGTGTGGGAAGAAATATTGCTTCTGACTAAACACGTTCAGAAAGTATTTGTAGGTAATTATTCATGGTGTCTAGGACTCATTCGTAATATATTGTAACAAGAATGTCGGCACCATCTGTTGGGAACCGCGCCAGACTCTCCTTCGGTGCGAGACTGCTGGCGACATTTGTTGGAGACCGTGCCAGACACTCTCCTTCGGTGCTGGCGACATCTGTTGAGGACCGTGCCAAACTCTCCTTCTAGATCGAAAACTGACCTCGAAGATTCTGGGCTGGCTATGTGGCGTGCCGGAACCTTCTGGAATCAACGAGTACCTGCGATGCGGACTATATAAGTCGACGGCCGGGAGAGGGAAGCAGAGTAGAGAGGAGATAATGGCGCGACATAATAATTCGTAAATAAGTAGTCAGACATAAATAGTGGTGTACATAAATGTTCTATCTAGTTAAGTTAAAGTTCGTTGTGTTGTGTTTTAAATAAATTAGTGCATTTCTTCTTGTGGAATGGAGTGTTTTTAATCCACACCCAAAAGAACACAGAAAAATGCTACATTGGTGTCAGGTGTGGGGTGTGCATTACTGAACATTTAGTGAAAATAAATCGGACGAGCAGCGAAGAAAGAATATCGCGATTGGTTGATTTAAAAAGAGAGCTGGAGGAAACAGAGTGCGACACGGCTGGAAAGAAAACGGGATTGCGAGAGTGGTTTCGTAAAGCACTGATTGAGGAAGGCGAGGACCCGGACAATTTCATTTTTACCGGTGCAGGGGATATTGGTTTAATGCTGCAAAACCTTTCGACCAAGTTAAAAAACAAGCTCATGGAAAATTGTGCCGATCTTTTAGAAAACTCGGCCAAGTTAGAAAAAGGCTCGTGGAAAATTGTGCCAATCTAGAAGGAAACCTCGTGGCAAATTGTGTCGATCTTTTAGAAAACTCAGCCAAGTTCGAAAATAGGCTCGTGAAAAATTGTGCCAACCTAGAAGGAAAGCTCGTGGAAAATTGTGTCAATCTAGAAGGAAAACTCTTGGAGTTACACGAAAGTACGACCAAGTTAGAATAGAAGTTCTTGGAAAATACTGCCAATTTAAAAAAAGAATTGGAAGACAAGATTATGGAAGAATCTTGCTTGTTGGAAAAACGGATTTTAAAAGCTTTGGAGGACAGAATTCAAGAAATGCAAGGCAAGTTTGCCGCTTCAGACGTCAAGACCATCGACGAACGACAGCGTGGACCTCCGTTGGAAAAATCAAGTGAGGTTGGAGCTTCTGTTGGGTTAGCTGGTCATGTACGAATGAAACCGCCGCAATTTGATGGTATAACGCCTTGGAATGTCTACCGGCGTCAGTTTGAGGCATCCGCTAATGCAAATGGTTGGTCATCGACCGAAAAGGCAACTGCAGTTACTTTGGCCCTGCGAGGAGATAGTGCAGCTATTCTTCACAGAATATCACCCGAAGAGCAAGAGGTCTACGAACAGCTAGTAGGGCATTTGGAGATGCGATATGGAAAGTCACATTTAGAACATGTCTATCATACTCAACTAAAGAATCGGTTTCAGAAGTCGGGCGAGACTTTGCAGGAGCTCGAAGCGGATATTGCGCAGTTGGTACGATTAGCATATCCCGGAAGGATAATGGAGCGATTGGCAGTGCAAGCATTCCTGGATGGACTTCGTGATGGTGAAATGAGGCAATACTTACTACTAGCACATTCACCTAAGCTAGTAGATGCGCTTAGAATGCCTTAGAATTCGAAGCCGCTAAAAACACAAATAAAAGCCAGGTCCGAGTTCGCCAGATGGTACCAGGGGATAACGAGTTCGAAGAGTCCGTTAAGCGGATTGTTAAGGAACTTGATGGTGAACGTCGCCGCCAGAACAGCAATGAGAATGTTGGAAATGTAGAAAAATAGGGCACGTTAGGCTGCCCTGAAGGTGCTAGTCCTCAACCGGCCAATCCGGAAAACTAAGGGTGGTCGATGTGAAGGGACTATCGTCAACCTGTAGCCAACAAGCCCCATCAGTTAATACAGCTCAAGTCTCCTCGTTTAAACATCAGTCTAATAGTATTTTTGTCGATGCTTTTGTGGATCGGACTCTCCACACCGTACTGCTGGATACTCGTACAGGTGCGACAAAGACTATCATAAGGCCCGACATGGTGAAAGCATCGGCGAAGATTCGACCATCTAAATGGCGACTACGAACGGCGACGGGAGACCGAGCAAACGTGTACGGTGAAGTAAACATCGCATTTGGAATAGGAAAATCTACATTTGAACATCCAGCGATAGTAGCTGATATTGAGGACGAAGTAATTAATCATCGGAATGGACATCATGGACACAAAGGGCTTCGAGTTGAATTTTAAGCAAGGAATCTTGAGAGTCAACAATGAGGAGGCCATCTCGGAGTGAGGGAAAGATTTTACTGGGTCAATAGCAAGCCGGACGTAAAAGACTGGTGCAGAAAGTGCGTTGTGTGGGGAGCCCCTTTGAAAGGATTGCTATTGATGTGGCGGGACCCTTTTCAGAAAGTGAAGCAGGAAATAAGTACATCATTGTGGTGATGGATTTCTTCAGCAAGTGTAGCCGATGCTTTAGTATAGGAATGGATCTGCCGATTTGGTGTACCTTCAGAGTTGCATTCAGACCAAGGGCGCAATTTCCAGTTAAATCTGTTCCAAAATATCTGTCAAATCCTTGGGATTAAGAAGACCAGGACTACTGCCTTAGTCAGATGGAATGGTGGAGCGTATGAATAGGACCATTAACCGGTATTTGGCTAAGGTAGTCTCTAGCCAACAAAGAGACTGGGATAGTTTTCTTCAACTCTTCTTATTGGCTTACCGATCGTCGATCCATGAAAGCACAGGAGAGACCCCGGCTCGAATAGTTATGGGAAGAGAACTTCGTGTCCCATGCGATCTAAAGTTTGGCTGTCCACCAGGAACTGATATTGCCGGAGAAGACTACGTCGAAGAACGGACGCTATCCATAGCCAGGTTCGTTTTTCAATTCAAGGTGCCAGCGACAGGATGAAGGAAGCTTATGACGTTCATGCTAAAGATCAGAGGTATGACAACGGTGATACAGCTTGGCTTTACGACCCAAAGAGGCGAAAAGGGCTGTCGATTAAACTTCAATCATCCTGGGACGGGCCATACAAAGTTCTGGAAGCCATCAGCGATGTTCTCTACAGATTCAGAAGGCACCACGCGGTAGAGCCCGAATTGTAAATTTCAACCGACTTGCCCCTTATCATGGAAACAACGAAGATGCGGCAAATCCAACCAGAACCGGTCATGATATTTGACCAATTTATAGCCCACCATGCTAATGGCCATAAGAGTCGGTATGGCGTGACATGTGAGACCTGTTTACCACTTCACCAGAGTATGCCCAGGCACACTGTGTGGCTCAAGACTTGCAAATGTCGAGAGGTATAGCAAAGGTCTTTTTCAGGAAGTTCGGAAGAGTGCATGAGCTGCGTCAATCTAACCCGGAAGTCGGAGAAGTACTCCAGATAACTGAAGAGGGTACCAACCGAAAGATCTTCTATCTGGTTACTAAGAAAGCTTCGTATCAGAAACCGAATTACGAGGATGTCTGGAGCGCTTTGTGTTCTCTTAGAGAAGTGTTGCGAGGATAACCTGGACTGGAGAATCATCCGAAGCATGTATAAGGTAGTATTCCGGTATACAGACATTAGATTTCTGGTATGTTGTCACAGTCCTAGACTGCTACCCCCTGGAAAGAGTGTGGGTTGTTACTTCTTCAAGAACTCCTACCGCAAGAAGGGGCAGTCGTGCCGATGTCGACATCCACCACCAGTAAAATCATTCCGGGCCAAAATGACTTTAGGGAGGGAGCAGTGTAACAAGAATGAATAGTATTACTAGCGTCATCTGTTGAGGACCGCGCCAGGCACTCTCCTTCGAGATCGAAGACTGACCCCGAAGGTTCTAGACTGGCCGCTATGTAGCGTACCGGAACTTTCTCGGATTAACGAGTACCTACGATCCGGAATATATAAGCCAACGGCCGGGAGAGGGAAGCAGAGTTGAGCGAATGGCGCGACATAATAATTCGTAAATAAGTAGTCAGACATAAATAGTGGTGTACATGAATGTTCTATCTAGTCAAGTTAAAGTTAGTTGTGTTGTGTTTTAAAGAAATGAGTGCATTTCTTTTTGTGGAATCAAATGTTTTAATCCACACCCAAAAGAACCCAGAAAAACGCTACAATATGAATAACTTCATACATTTAGCGGAGACAATACACAGAAGTTTATCTGATTCGATTAGCATTATTTCTCAGAATGTTTTATTGAAATACAGTTGATTCATTTCTAAAATCTTAATTCCTGCCAGACGTCGAAACTTGAGATGTTCTCTCTGCAAACTTGTTTTTTATTTTTTTATTCTATTGAATCGTTCCACTTTTGAATGAACCTTGTTCCTACATTATTTGAAGTATAGAAGCATTTTATGGAGGATTCTGATATCTCGACTTTCCAAGAAAATAGTCAGAGCATGTATCATATTCAATGATTAGACGATAAGGGAGTATAAGGCTTTCTGGAGTAATGTCACGTGTCTTTCCTACCGGACCGCCAGTCTTATAAGATTTTCCATGCGTATGCTTTCGTTAGTGTCTCGCTGGATTAACTGATTAAAACGAATAATTTCTTTAAGGCGCCTTTACAAATCAACATCTCTACGAATTGTCATTTCTTGACAGTATTGCACTGTAATACTTGTAACTGCTACTTGCTGAGTTCCTATTCCATAAAAAGTATGGTGTAATAATTACAGGTCAATTTGCTTGTAACTAGTACTAATACGAGATATTGTGTTCCCA